GAATCACAGTGATAACAGATACAGATACATGACCTTCCACCCTTTGAGGAACTTTGAGGGGCTCAGAGTTCCCCTGAGCTGGTACTTCTCCAGAGTGAAAATAGCCAGTTGAGGTGGTTCAGGCAGGAAACGTCTTATGCAGCTCCAGGCATGTCCTACCTGAGAAAGCTCAGGGGCACATGAGGCATGATCAGGCACTTAAAACAATACTTTGAATTCCATATGCAATAGTATCTCAGATTATATAATCCATTCACAAAAATGGTGGTTTGAAATTTCTATTAGTATGAATGGCTTTTTTCCTTCAGTACTTTGAGTAAATCAGTATCATGATTAAACAGTTACCAGTCATTAGTTTGGTTCTTTTTCACCAGTGTGACAAATCTTGTCTTTCTCACAACTTGCAACACACATGTAAACGCCAGCATTGGTAGACGTGGCTCTTGTGACAGTGATAGTCATCTGGCGCCCCTCAGTGGTCTCTTTTGCATTCACAGCATCTATACAGATCCAGCTGATGTTAGAGGGAGGGTTGCCATCAGCATTGCAGCTTAGTGGAACATTCTCACACATTCTCAGGGTGTAAATAATCCCACTGGTTAACATTTAGTCACTTTGATCTCATAGGTTGACAGGTAAAAGAGAAAAGGACTGTCTGTGCAACCAGAGTTGTTTGAGCTCACAACACTTTAAGAATATATTAGTATTGGGTGGCAAGCTGATATCCAGAGTTCACTTAGTGGAAAATAAGGAGGAAATCTTACAAAGAACAACAGCAGTGTAAGGTGCTGAGGTTGCAGAAGGATGGACTGATAAGATCCGAAGCAGGTGCAGGAGGGATCTCTGGTGCTTTGGGTCCTAAGTGCAGCACAGCCTCACATCTGAAAACTAATCCAGGGTAATCTCTCTTGGGAATGAATCTTAAAACAGACGACACATTGACCGGATTTCCATGAGGGTCAATAAAAAATTTTGTGTGCACAGTTTCATTTCCTCTTTACCACTTCACTGTGAACTCCTTCACGGGAGCAACATTGGTGACATTGCATTTCAAATCATACTCTGTGCTCTCCGTCACTGGACTATGATCCATTGCAGAAATTGACGCAGTCTGAAGTTTTTGTAAATAAATTAAAGTAAAAATAAATGATGTCAATGAAGACACATTTTTAGTAATTTTGTCTTGATGTCTTTCCATCACCGCAGATGATTATAAATTCAACAGTCAACATGTGATTAAAATGTAACTTTAGTACAAGCTGTTTAACCTTGTGGTACCTGTTTAGAAATCACCACCATATTTATACATATTTCCCCGTTTTCAGATGCTCAAAAATAGTTGGACAAATCAATATCATTTTAAATATAAGAAATGTTATTTAATACCTGGATACAATCCTTTACACTATCGCAAGTCAAGACGTCATGGACATTAACAAATGTTATTTCTACCTTGAGTTTCTCTGCTAGGATGTTGAATAAGCTAATTCAGTTGCTGCTTGTTTGTGGCTCTCTGTGCATTCAGTTTTGTCTTCAGTAAATGAAAGTATGCTCTGTCAGATTGTACCAATGTAACTGGCTTGGCCAATGAAGAATATCCAATTTCTTTAGCTTGAGAGACTGCTTTTGGTTAATGATCCATTTGCATTGTAAAGTGGTGTTGGATCAGGTTTGCATTCAGCATTTTGTCTGAGTCTGAGCAGAGAGTATAGCCCTGTGCACTTCAAAATTCATCCTGCTACTCCTATCAGCAGTCATCTCATCAATAAATACCAGTGGTCCGATTCCACTGGCAGCCATACATGCCTCCACCATGTTAAACAACATGCTTCGCATCATGAGTTGTTTTTCTCCTTCTCTACAGATTTATCTTCGTCCGTGTCAGAAGTTCACCTTGTTTATATCTGTCCAAGCTCTTTTAGATGCTTTCTGCCAAATCCAGTATTGCATATCAAATGCAAGTTGAACAGTTGAAATCAAGTCCAAATTGTTTATTTGCAAAATCCTAGGAGACAGGCATCACCTGACCATAAAACTACTTGTCATTCGATTGTCCTTTGAGCCTCAGAAAATGCTCTTAAACTGTCACGGTTCTGGGTCAGTTTGACCCAGTATTTTGAGTTATGTTTTGGTTTATTTTTCAATGATAGATTGTTCTTTATGTTTCTCTGGTGCTTTGTTGGGTTTTATGATGAATCTGCCTTTCAAGTTACTTTGGTGTGTTTGATTGTTTCCTTATTCTCTTAGTGCTTGTGATGATGATGATGATTATGATGATGTTCTATGTTCCAGCTTATTCTGGTTTATTCTTAGTTCTGCCCGTGTTAAGTCTGTGTTTCTTAGTCTGCATCCTTGTGTCTTATTTCCTGTTTTATTGTGAAAGTCTATGTCTTATGTTAGTGTGTGCCGCTTTGCTCCCCCTGTCTCGTTAGTCCAATTTCTCCCAGCTGTGTCTCCCTCCTGTTGCCCATTCCCTGATTACCACCCTGTGTATATTAGCCCTGTGTTTTCCTGTGCTCACTGTCGCGTCGTACCCTCAACTAGCTGTGTGTTCTGCTTCTATGTGCCTAGTGTTTAGGCTCCTGCTGCAGTTTTGTATTTCTTTTCCAGTGTCTCAGTCCTTGGTTCCTCTGTTCAGACTTTTGTTTGTCTTTTGGTGAGTTTAGTTTGTACGAGGTTTTTCCCAGCAATAAAGCTGCGCTTTAAGTCTCACTTCCGTGTCTGAGTTCTGCATTTTGGGTCCACCACTCCTGCTTGCCTGCCTGCCACACAGCGATTCATGACATAAACAACTAATGCAATAATTTTTTTTAAACCTCGTGACTTAAAACTTAAACTTTAAGTCATGAGGTTTGGTGTTTTAAGCACTTCAATTGCATATTGATTATTTAATGTAAAATTGTGGTAAAATGATAGGATCATCAAAATGATGGCATAAAGAGACAAAGTCGCAATAACATTTATTTAATTATGTATGGAGTGACCTGTGTATATCGGACATTATGACATCAAAATGAGAAGAAGGCAGAGACAAATTAGTAGGCATACGTCAATGTGTAACTCTCCAAAACGTTATTGTTTTTTATTTCTACACAGTGGTACAAACACTTGAATGAGAGCAATTACAGGCTACTAATACCATCAAGAGTGAGCAATTAAAGTGACTATTCTAGCAATGAACATCATTCTACCAAAAATTGTATCAGTTCATTTGAGCAATGATGTAATCCATGTTTTCTGGAAATGTATACATAAAGATAAGCTGTGCAACACAATTGTACCTTTATCTTTGATAATATCACTCTGAAACCTTTGCTTTTCTTTTGGTTTCTGTACTTTATTTAAAAAAGACATCTTCATCCTCGTGGTTTCATGACTTTTAAATTCGTAGATCCTTCAAGTACATTTCTTACTGCAAAACTTACTTTATTTACTTTCATTAAAATTAGAGGTTCTAGAGTTTTCTTTCATTTAAATGTTCTTCTAAATGAAGTGCCACAGGGCTGACCAAGAACAAAATAGGGGTGCACCACGGGAAATCTGAATATTTAATTTTTAATTAATTTGATTTTAGTTTTGATTTTTATTCTTGCTTCAGAGATTCTGGTTCTTGGTGTTGTTCAAACATACATCTGGTTTATTTATTTTTTTCCATTAGTAATCTGTTCTTCTTATGTTCTGGGTTCTTGTTATTCCTCTAATCTTCTAACTTCATTTATCTCACCTTATAAGTTTATGTGTTACATTTAAGTTATTTATTATGGCACCTTGTGAGAGGTCATTTTGGTTCCTACCTGGTAAGATTTATGGTGGAATTGTTTGTAGAGTGTAACATCCACTGTGTGCCATGCGTGTCAGGGAGTGAACAGAGTAAAGTTCACAGTTTTGGTATTAAGATAGAAGAGACTGTAGCCTCCAATGCAGCCACAGCCCAGAGCTACCACAATTTATCCCCTCAGTCTTCCCTTTGGGGATTTTGTGTTGTACTTTGTGGAATTTTACAACCACACTAATTAAAGGGGCCACTTTTTGTTAAATCCTGCTTGTCTCCTAATTTTACTTTTGGGGTTTTATCCTGCAAATTGTGACAGATTTGTATAATCTGTCACAATTTGTATAAAGTAAGTGTGCTATGTAGAATGTCTGTGAAGGTTCTCAGTCATCCAGGTCATCGCAGTCCTTTGACTGCTATGTAGAATGTTACTTTTCAGAATGATATCTAGTATTGTAGGTGTGTTTTTCATCACAATTAGTAATCCATCCAAGTGACATCAAAGGGGATCAATCATATATCAGTGGAGGGGTTATTCCAATCTAACTCATGATTTAAAAAAAACCCCAAAAAAACAAAAAAAAAACTGAATTGGTGATTCAAAATGGCCTGAATCTAGAGACTGAGCCATCTGCGACAGTCATCAAGAAAGGGTTCAATGAGACTTCATAAAGTATTACAGGACTCAGAGGAAGGCATCTCTTCTTCTTCAGAAGACTTAGGGACTTCCATCTGCCACTGAGGGTGCTTAAGAACTTCTACTCCTGCACCATCGAGAGCATCCTGACAGGAAACATCTGCACCTGGTTTGGGAACAGCACCAAGAAGGACAGACTAGATCTGCAAAGAGTGGTGCGCTCAACCAAACGCATCATTCTGTAATCATCAAATACGTGGGTGGAAATCTTACAGAGGACAACAGCAGTGTAAGGTGGTGAGGATGTATTAGGGAGGAACATCTAAAAGTTAATCCATTGTAATCTCTCTGAGTGGAGATTTTCAGGGTAGAAGATGTGTTTACTGGGATCGCAGTAGATTCATTAAACGTCTCTGTGAGCACAGTTTCATTGCCTCTGTACCACTTCACTGTGAGAATCTGTACAGGAGCAACACTGATGACATCACATTTCAGATCATGCTCTCTGCCCTCCACCATCGGAACATGACCCATGTCAGACACTGACACAAAGACACAAAGTCTGGAGTTTCTGTAAATAAAACAATTTTTATTTTTTGGTATTACTGATTTACAATGTAAAAACCAAATTTAATGTCTAACATTATTACATCAGTACAGGAAACATGCATTTCTAAAAGTGTTAGTTTGCAGGTGCCAGAGTCACATTTTGATTTCCACATAAGGAACATTTGAATTGGATCAATTAGAAGCTGCCTGATATTATCATGTCTAAGCATGTCTTTAATTATTGCTTTCTTGCATATGCATTTTTCAGTTCATGCAGGTCATAATACAGTAACACAGTCTGTACACATGTACTTACTGTAAACAGCGAAGAGTGGACTCACAGTGGTGCAAGAACAAAACCAGGAAGATTATGAAGGACCTCTCCCATCCCAACAATGGACTCTTTTCACTGTTGAGGTCTGGGAAGCGCTTCCGCTCCCCAAGGGCCAAAACAGAGAAAATGAGGGGGAGCTTCTTCCCCCAGGCTATTTGGGCCCTGAACCAAGTGCAGGACTGGACTCTCATTCATCACGTCACTGTTTTTATTTGCACACTTCTTCCAATTTCTCTCTTAAATCATTATTTGCGCATTCTTTTTTTACTGTAAATTTCTAAGTTAAAATCTGTAAATTTTGTCATAATCTGTAAATCTGTAAATTCTTTACCGTCGTTTAATGGTCGGGCATTGCACAGAAACAAGCACTTCACCACTTGTCTGTGTATGGTTGTGTGTGTGGTAAATAAAATTTGAATTTGAATTTGACTACAGGGTTCTTTTTTGTAACATTAGACACCAACTGGTGGCCCTTGAGTTTAAAAAAAAAAAGCCATTTTTAAGTTGTTTTCAGTTTTTATATTATGACTGTTAATCTCATTCTTCCTCTTTTCTTCCTCTATTTAATATCATGCAAGCGAAGCAGATTATACTCTCACTGAAAGCTCTTTGCAAAAATCAATTTTCAGGCCAGTCAGATTATTCAGAAAGCAAAAAAATCTTTTCCAAAGTTATCCCAGCAATTTGAAGGAAGGTCCTGTTGAATAGGATCCAAGCACAATATAACCACTGACTGCTCCAGCTTTGTCTTTCTTCAACACATATAGCTGATTAATTGTTTAATAACCATCACACTTAAGCAATTAATTATGCTTGCCAGCTTTTAGCCAGGTTTTTCCAAATATTTAACATGATGAAGGAAATCAGGTCAATGTAGCTTTCCTATCCACATCACTCTCAAAAATGGTAATAAGCCTTAAAGAGGAAGCGATCTGATCTCCACACAGGATGCCAGCCAAGAGGCTGTGCTGTAACCCGAAAGCCTCCACTGGTTAAAATCAACCTATTGTTTAATCCGTGTTCTTCAATGAATTATGTTATAAAAAGTATTCTGTGGACTCTGGAAATCAGTCATTCCCTGGCAGAGAGTCCTGGACTAGCAGATGATCACCCTCTAATTCAGATCATTAATAATTCGCCTTTAAGTTCTGGCATATGACATAGACTACTTTGTTTAAATGCAGTAAATCCTGTTAGGGCTACACTTTGTGCTTTTAATATTTCACAATTAAAATGAACTGTGGGTCAAAAAACATAAAAACAATAAAAAAAATAAATTCAAACATAAGACATAATATTGCTAAATGTTAATTGTTTTTACAGCAGTTTCATGCACTGTTTAGCAGACATATACATAACATTATTAACTCTGAAGCATAACCTTCTTATTATTTTAGATATTTCTGCTATTTGTTTTCTGGTATATGAAGTTGTTTAATTCAAGGAATTAATTTATGGAAAAATTAAATGTACATTTATACAATATTATAGGACAAATCATAAATTACATATGCAATTAAAATTTTACTTCATTTTTCATAATGAAGGGAAATATCCTAAGCATTACTACTGACTGTCAGAGGGACATCTGTGGCATTTGATACTATGTCAAAAGAAGAATGCCAATTTTTTCTCTTTCTATAGTAAATAAAGACCAGGAGGACGATGAGGCCAATGGCAAATACAGCGAGCAACACTCCAATGACTAGCAAAGGGACTTTATCTGTAAGATAAGCAAAATAAAAGCAACATTAAAATAAGATCAGTTCTCGATGTCATATATTGTTCATTTTAAACATCAGTTATCACTTTTCTTTATACATTTTCATAACTGTTCTGCAAAAAGTAATCATACCTTTTATCACCAGTGAGACGAATCGTGTATTTCTCCCAGCTTCATTCTCAGCAACACAAATGTAAATGCCTGCATTGGCAGACGTGATTCCTGTGATACTGATAGTCTTCTGTTGTCCCTCAGTGGTCACGTTTGAATTCACAGCAGCTGTGTAGATCCATCTGATGTTTGAGGGTGGGTTACTGTCAGCACTACAGCTTAAAGTAACATTCTCACCCTGGAGCACTTCCTTGCTTTCATTTCCATTCTTGAACTCAGGGGCATCTGTGGAAGAAATACATGAGAGATTTAATAAGATAAAAATAGTATGCTTCAAACTTTACTTTCATCTAAAATTGTTTATATTCAATATTGACAAATCATTTAAAAAGATCGTGTGATTCTGTTGCAGAGCTCTGAGGTGGAAAAAAAAACATGAAATACGTGGGTGGAAATCTTACAGAGGACAACAGCAGTGTAAGGTGGTGAGGATGTATTAGGGAGGAACTTTGGTCCTTTAGGTCCGAGATGCAGCTCAGCCTCACATCTAAAAGTTAATCCATTGTAATCTCTCTGAGTGGAGATTTTCAGGGTAGAAGATGCGTTTACTGGGATCGCAGTAGATTCATTAAACGTCTCTGTGAGCACAGTTTCATTGCCTCTGTACCACGTCACTGTGAGAATCTGTACAGGAGCAACACTGATGACATCACATTTCAGATCATGCTCTCTGCCCTCCACCATCGGAACATGACCCATGTCAGACACTGACACAAAGTCTGGAGTTTCTGTAAATAAAACAATTTTTATTTTTTGGTATTACTGATTTACAATGTAAAAACCAAATTTAATGTCTAACATTATTACATCAGTACAGGAAACATGCATTTCTAAAAGTGTTAGTTTGCAGGTGCCAGAGTCACATTTTGATTTCCACATAAGGAACATTTGAATTGGATCAATTAGAAGCTGCCTGATATTATCATGTCTAAGCATGTCTTTAATTATTGCTTTCTTGCATATGCATTTTTCAGTTCATGCAGGTCATAATACAGTAACACAGTCTGTGCACATGTACTTACTGTAAACAGCGATGAGTGGACTCACAGTACACTGGGATCCATCAACCAAAGTAGCATAGCAAAAAGGACTTGGAGTCCACTCTTCTAGTTTTTCAACCCTCCAAGTGACAACAGGAGGGCGTTCAAATCCTGTACCTCCAAATGGAGCCTCCCAGCCCATCCCTTCAACATCTGTGGCTGATGTGCTGCAGTTGATTAAAATTGGATCTCCAAATTTCACAACAATTTCAGAAGGTGTCAGTGTTAAAGGGCAACCTGCCATTAACAAGCACACATGTTAACATTTAAAACTGATTTTGGATATAAAAAGACATAAGTCCCTAAAAAAAGGACAGTAGTTGTAAGGTAAACAGGGATGTGTACCTCTTGGTTCAGCATGAACATAGAATGTCTTAGTTATGTTTCCTAGAATACTGGGAGCTGTGCAGGTGCAGGTTGTGTTGCGGTTTACTGGGGTGATATTGAGACTGTTTGTGTTCTCCAACATATTTTCCCCATCACAAGTCCAGCCATAGACCGTAAGAGGGTTTCCCACAGCTTCACAGGTCAACATAATATTAGTGCCCTCACTTGAAGACATCACATGAGTTCTGTTTTTTGTCTTTGGTTCAAGAGCATCTGAAAAAAAGAAGAAAACAGAAGATTGTTATTTACACAGTTATATATATTAGGGGTGCAACGATACACAAAATGTTCATGCCTTTTTAATTTGTCATTTATTAAAATTATAAATATATATTTTAACTCAAAAGTACAGTTTTTAAATTTAATGTTGCTGAAACAAAAGTAATTTAAAAAATAAATATATCTCAGG